TTCAGTGAAAATGTGGTTGGAAGGCATGCAGCATGTTGCTTTCATGTGGAATGAAAAATCTATTTTAAATATGACAACTTTAGTTTCAACAAGATAAATTTGAAATAAAATACATAGAAATTATTGATACACAGACACCAACAGTTCAGTCCTCCTGGGTCCAAATCAGCTTCTTAATTTCTCTTTATTTCCTTTTCATTCAGCAATTAATGAGTTGTCCTCCACTGATGTTGTGTAATTTACTTTGGCAGCAGTTCAGGGAGAGCACTGGCAGGTTGGACAGGGATTAGAGATGGATAACAGAGCTGGGAAGTGTGAAGAAGGTTCTGCTGAATTTCAAGGAATTTGGACTGCTGAGAGGTGAGAGACTCAGACAAATGTGTGGTGGAAAAATGGGGTTAACAGAGGTTTTTTAATTGAGACAAGGATAATGAGCAGTTAGTGGTGGAAAACAGAGGTACTTGAACCTTGGGAGGGGTTGGTGTTTGACCAGGGAAGGTAATTTCCACTGAAAATACATAAAATTCTCCACTGCTGAGTAGCTAGATCAAGTTTAGATACTTAAAAAGAATGATTGAGTTGGAGAACATGATCACATTTAACTGCTGAGTGTGCTGTGCTATAGAAAAGGTCAAATTAGATGGAAGGACCCCCTTAGTGCATGAGGAGAGCTCCTAGGCTGAGGTGGCCGTCCCTCAGTGCAGCTTTTGGTGACAGTGATCCGTGGCCATTCCTGGTGCAGTTCTGTTATCATTTGTTTTTATACCATTCTGTTTCATTCCCTTCACACTTCCCACCCTTTCCCATTCCTCACTTCTTACCCAGCGCTGCCCCAATGGTCCCTGAGTGCAGCTCTTTTAGAGAACAGGGCCTGTCCCAACAGGCGGCTGCTGCAGCCAGGGGAGGGGCAGGGCCAGGCACATCACAGCTCTGGTGGTGCTTGGAGACTGTTGGCTTTTGCACTTCAGGCAGATCAAATGAATCCCAACTGTCAGAGATTTCCACCACCTGCTATTTCTCCCTCTTTTCTTGGTTGGATTTAACAACTTTTCCTTTCCTCGCACAGAGCTGGAAAGTGAAATGCCCACCTACCCCATGGCCATCCCCAGCACCTTGTCCCTCTTTCTCCCACCTTTACTTTGCTCCACTTTCTCCATGCTCCTCCTCTCCCTGCCAGCTCCAGCAAAGCCATTTCACCCACTGGCACCAGCTGCCTCCTGTCCCTCGCTCCCATTTTGCCCTCTCTGAACTCCTGGAGCCGCCTGCCTGCGGAGCCGGAGCAGCCGTGGGGCCGGGTAACGGTGCAGGGAATGGTAGCAGGGATTCTTGGGCTGGGCTGGGCCAGGCCAGGTGCCTGGGGCCAGCAAAAGCGCTCAGTGCCTCTGCTCCTGGCCCTGGGCAGGCAACAGAACACAGCAGGAATGGCTTGGGGGCCTCAAGAAAGGCAGCCAGAGATCTCTTACTCATTATGGGCAGAACAGGCCTGGAGTGGGGAAATTATATTTAATTCAATTTATTACTAAACAAATCAGAGCAAGGGAATGAGATGTACAGCAAATCCTAAAAATGCACCTTCCCCACACTGTTCTGTCCTTCCTGAGCTTCACTTTACTGTGATTCCATCCCTCCACACCACACGGTGGCACAGAGGGATGGGGGTTACAGTCATGTCATGTCTCTGCTTCTCCCTCAGGGAGAGAAATCGTTGTCTTGTTCAGCCTGGGATTCCTTCCATAGGAGGACAGTTCACTTTACCTTCCTGGACTTCACTTTACCCTGATTCCATCCCCTCCACACCACACAGTGGCACAGAGGGATGGGGGTTACAGTCATGTCATGTGTCTGCTTCTCCCTCAGGGAGAGAAATCGTTGTCTTGTTCAGCCTGGGATTCCTTCCATAGGAGGACAGTTCACTTTACCTTCCTGGGCTTCACTTTACCCTGATTCCATCCCCTCCACACCACACAGTGGCACAGAGGGATGGGGGTTACAGTCATGTCATGTCTCTGCTTCTCCCTCATGGAGAGAAATCCTTGTCTTGTTTCAGCCTGGGATTCCTCCCACAGGAGGACAGTCAGATCCTTTGCAACAGACAGACAGACCATTCTTCGCAGTCAGGTGCCTGATGCAGAAAGTGAGATTTCTCCTCAGCATGTGTCAGCTGCTCTTCCTCCTCTTCCAAGGACAGTTCACAAGTGCCACATTCAGGCCAGTTTGTGATGATTTCCAAGAGCCCAGGGCGATTTGGATTTCCCATTGGGGCTTGTTGTGTCATGAGGGCAATGCACTCACTGCAGGCAGCACCAGTGGCAGGATGGATTGCAGAGACTTTTCCTTTGCAGCCCCAGCCCAGCGTTGGCACTGGGCATGAAGAGGCACTGAGGTGACCCTGAGAGGAAGGGCAAGGCACAGGGTGCAGCTGAGGAAGGACAGCGCTGTGCTGGGCTCAGAGGTGAAGCTGGCACTGCCCAGTGTGGAGAAGGTCCTTTCTGCAGCCCCTGTTACAGGGGAGCTGGGGCCTTGCTGCAGAGATACGGCCGCTCACTGGAGCAGTTGTCACTCCTCAATCTCTTGTCAGCCAGGTACACACACTGGGAATTGCCGAGGACAGGAACCCTGCAGGGAGGAGCAGAGGCAGCGCTGGCTGCCAGGGGCAGCCCTTGTGCCCCTGTGCCCCCAGGCCCTGCCCGGCTCCCCGGCACTCACCGGGAGCTGTAGCTGCTGCCGTCCCCCCAGTGCAGGCGCTCGCCCCGTCTGGGCTGCCCGAGCCAGTAATCGACCTTCCCACAGACACGGGAGAGCAAATCCTGCCCAGGAGAGAGGGGAGGAGTGGGAGCTGCCCCGGCCCCTCGGGGGGAGACACGGGCCCGGGGCTCCCCCCGCACGCCGGGGCTCCTTCCCTGCAAGGCCCCGGCCCAGGGCTGCAGCCCCGGCCCTACGAGCACCGAGCCCGGCCCAGGAGCACCCCCAGGCTGCCCTCAGCCACCCCACACCGCCCGCAGCCCCTCACTCACCATGGCCTCCTCATCCTTGGCAATGGCCAGGGAGGCCCCAAGCTCGGAGCACCGTTCCTGACCCTGATCCCAGGTGCTGTAATCCCGTGAGAAGTAGTAGCAGACCCCCTTGTAGCCAACCCAGTCATGGGGACAGCACAGAACACACTGTGAGGTGGCAGCTGTGACTGGAACCTGTGGTGCTGCAGGGGGAAGAGGAGAAGGTCTGAGGATTGCCCTGTGCAGGGAGCAGGGAGCCCGCTCTGCCCCGAGGGGCTGGGCCCCGGCTGCTGCCCCTCCCTTACCTGCCAGCACAGCCAAGGCCACCCCCAAAGCCAGCACCAGCACCAGGAGCAGCAGAATCAGCACCGCCGTGCCCACGGGATGGCCCCTGATGCATTCACCTGGAGCAGGAAAGAGCTGCTGGCTGCCAGAAGCAGAGCCGGGCCTGCAATCTGCTCAGCCCATGGCCAGGGAGCAGAGCAGGGAGCCCTGAGCCAGTGTGGGCCTCACTCAGCTGGCAGCCAGAGAGCCAAGAGCCTGGCCACAGCCAGGGACACAGCTGTGGCCACAGGCAGGGACACAGCTGTGGGCACAGGCTGCAGCAGGAGAACTGCACAGCCTTGGGGGCAGCTGGGGCTCTTGCTTCCAGCCACTGATGGGGCCCAGCAGAGCACCAGGCCTCTGCCAGACATCGGGAAACAGCCACACACCTGCCAGCCCTGCCCTTGGGAGGGGACACTGTCCCCACCCTGGAGGCCACAGGGGTGGCCCTGCACTCACCCAGGATTCTTCTGAGGTTCCTTTTGTGTTCATTCTTGGTTGCTGATGTGCCCTGAGGACCCAGGGGCTCCCTCACACTCCCATCGCTGGTGCAGAATCCATTCTCCACATCTGCACTCACTGCACACTCACAAGTGGCATCCCCCTGTTTATGCCAAGAGGCTTCTTGGGCCCCAGGCAGGTCTGGAACCGCGGCTGCTGGTCCCTGCTGGCGATGCTGGGGCTCATTCGCAACTGCTCGGATGGAGCAGAGTTCATTCTCCTCCTGCTCACAGCCGGCATCTCTCTGCCCAGAACAAACAGCACCTTGCTCCTGACACATCAGGAGTGCTGCTGGCAGATCCTTTGGGAGCTCGGCCTCGGGAACAGCTTCACAGCCGCGCTGATGGCAGCCTGAAAGGGACACGGGGAGAGGTCACTGCTGGTGCGGGCGCTGGGGGCTCAGGAGGGCGGTGCCAGCTGTGGCTGCGCTGTCCCTGCTGCCCAGAGGTGCGGCAGCAGCTGCGGAGACAAGCGCAGCCTCCGGGAGCTCTCGGTGCCCGCAGCCCCGGCCCCTGTGGCTCTGCAGCCGCTGCAGCCCAGCTCCGTGCCGGGCCGGGCGCTGACAGCGCCTGCGAGCTGCCGGCTGCTGCTGGCCCGGGGCAGCTGCGGCTCGGAGCCCGCCCCTGCCGAGGGGCAAGAAGCAGCAGCGCCGGGCTGCTCACCATTGTGCCCCGCATTCCCTGCCCCGGCGCCTTGGAGCCCGGGGACACCGAGCGCCGGCACGGCCGCTGCGGCTCCCTGCCTGTGAACGGGGGAAGCCGCCACCAGGAACTCGCCAGAACCCCCCGGCCCTCAGCGCGGCCCCTCCGCCCGCAGCGAGCCCCGAGCTGGGGCAGCACCGAGCGTGGCTCCCACCTGGCCTGGAGCCGCCTCCGAGCTCCGCCGCCGCCTCGCCGGGCTCCCGGTGCCGCCGCTCCCGTCCCAGGCTGACACACGCGGAGCCACCGCTGCCGCTGTAAATTCCCGTTTTTGGAGTGCTTTATGGTTTAAGGCCGAATCGATCAATCAGCGGGCGGGAACGCATCCCCGGTGCGGTCGTTTTGCTCCCCGCTCCCGCCGTGGTCCCCTTTGCCCGGCGCTCCCCGCTGCCTTCGCCGGGATCGGCTCCTTCACCGTTCTGCCGCCTCGGGGAGCCCGGAGGGAGGGATCTCAACCCAAGTCTTTTTCTCTCTGCTGAACGCAATGGAAACCACTGGGGGTGTCGGAACAAGAGTCAGGCGCGTCGGCTGCCCGTGGCTCCGTCGGGGCTTTCCCCGCTTCCGGGGCTCCGCTTTGCCAGCTGCGTCACGGCGTCTCCGTTGGCCCCGGCGGAACTCACTCCCCCCCCGTGGCTCCCCAACCCTGCGGCCGGGCGAACCCCCGGCATTTGCCCCAAGGGCTCTGACTGCCCCTGGTTACTGAAGCCTCACGCACCGTGCTCTAGAATGCCGTAAACATGGGCTGAAATGCTTCTTAAAGTTAACCTTGTGTTTTTAGTGAACTCTGATTTCTCTGAAAATTGTTATTGGAGTGATTCAAAGCGGTAAATCCAGTGCCTTATTGTTACGTGCAGCGTAACACAATCGAATTCCTTTAACAGAAATGCTGCTAACATTTACCACGTCCTGTTACACTAAATACAATCTCGAGAAGCTCCCGGTTTGTTGGACACTTTGCCAAATTCTACATTGTTGTTTCTTTCGGTACAATTGCACTTTAAAAGGTCTGAGTAAATTTATGGTTCCATAAAATTTGTGGCTGCCATGAGTTTTTCTCAATGCTAGATTACATAGGGTCAACATTTGTCACACTTTTCTAATCCCTCCAGTAAATCCATCATGCCATTATTTCAACCACGCTTGGTTCCCATTTTCAGTGCCTTTTGGTATTAATAGCGGCAGAATAAGGTACATTTTGTAGTACCCAGAACTTTTAAGGATCTTGATTGTTAGTTCGGTTATGTTTTATTTCAATATTATTTTAGTGTTGGAAGAATTAAGCAAAGTCAGATCTGAATAATGTTATGTTTTATTCCTCTATTGAATTTTGTTAAGACTCATTTATGTCAGGGTGGATTTCTGTCAGGGTTGAGTCTTGCTGAGTTTTGGACGGGGCCGGAGCGCTTTGGGCCTCGGCGCGATGGAGGCGCTGCGGGGGCCGGCGCTGAGCTGGCCCTGGTGCGCTTCGCCCCGCTCCTGGCCGCCTCCGTGTGGCAGCGGCAGCCGTTCCGCCTGCGCTACGTGCCGGGCCGCGGTGAGCCGGGAGCGGGCCGGGAGGCACGGCGGGAGGAGCGGCCGGAGCGGGGGGACTGGCAGGGGGACACGGCGGCCGGGAACCGGGAGCGTGTGAGGGGGGACCGGCGGCCGGGACCCGAGGGCGTGTGAGGGGGGAGGACCGGGGGGTGTGAGGGGAACCCGAGAGCATGTGAGGGGGAACCAGGAGCGTTTGAGGGGGAACCGGGAGAGTGTGAGGACGACCCTGCCGCCGGACTCGAGGAGCGTCTGAGAGGGAAGTGGGGGGGGGGGATCGTTTGAAGGGGATCCGGCGGCCGGGAACCGGGAGCTTGTGAGGGGGGATCGGGAGAGTGTGAGGGACACCTGGCGGCCGGGAACCGGGATCTTTTGAGGGTAATCCGGCGGCAGGGAACTGGCAGCGTGTGAAGGGGAGCTGGGCCGTGTGAGGATGCCCCGGTGGCCGGGAATTGAGGGCTTCTGAAGGGGAATTGGGGGGGGCGTGGTGTGAGGGGAACCCGGCGGCCGGAAACCAGGAGCGTCTGAGGGGGAACCGGGAAAGTGTGAGGGGGATCCGGCGGCCGGGAACCGGGAAAGTGTGAGGGGGACCCGGCGGGCTCGAACCGAGAGCGTGTGAGGGGGAGCCGGGAGTGTGAGGGGGACCCGGGAGCGTGTGAGGGGGACCCGGCGGCTTCCCAGCCTCTCGGTGTCACAGCACGGGTTACCCCAGTGAGGCATCTGGTGCCCCCTCCCTGCAGCAGCAGGGCCATGGCCGAGCACAGGACACAAGATTCTGCCAGCAGGGTCTGGGATATCCGCAGTGAGGGAGACTCCGCAGCCTGTGTGGACAATCTGTTCCTGGCATGGCGTTGCTGAGCCGCCTCTCCTCTCTCTGCCCCGTGCAGGCGAGATCCCGGCGCACTTGGGCGGCACCACGGTGTTCGGGGATAACGTGGAGGATGAGTGGTTCATTGTGTACCTGCTCCGGGAGATCGCCAGGGAGTTCCCGGGGCTGGCAGCCAGGTAAGGCGGGTGCTGCTGAGCTGCTTTTGTGCGAGGGCTGCCGAGGGGCAGTGCCTGTGCTCTGAAGGTCCTGTCTTACCATTGCCCATCCTTGGAGGTGTTTCCCCATCCCATACACCTCGGAAGTGTCCAAGGGCAGGTTGGATGGGGCTTGGAGCAGCCTGGGCTAGTGGAAGGTGTACCTGGCTGTGGCCAGGGTGTTGGAACCAGGTACTGATCTCTAAGGTCCCTTCTAACCTAAGCCTTTCTATGGGTTTATGAATATTTTTTGAAAATCCCAGCAGACGTGGATTCAGAAGTGTGTTGTTGTGCTCTGCAAGGCTTTTCCTGCTAAATTTCTAATTTCTCCTTGGTGAGTATTGATGACAACGATGGAGAGTTTCTCTTGATAGAAGCTGCTGATTTTCTGCCCAAGTGGCTGAATCCTGAGAACAGTGAAAACAGGGTGAGTAAAGCTTGTGTACAGTTGGCAAGGGGGACCCAGTGGCCTTTCATGTAGCAGCTGGAGTTTTCTCTTGTACTTCTAGCCAAGTGGTGTGGCTGCCTCTGAAAATCCAGAGTGCTGTCTGTCCCTGACTGTTGCTCCCTTCAGGAGCACTCCTGAATCCACCTGAACTTTCCAGCTCTGCTAGAACTACTTGGATTTTTTTATTTCTACCATGTTGTGGAGTGTTTAGGGCAGAGGATTTGCTGCCCTCAGAGTAGGGAATGCTCAGGGCTGGAGTGTTGCTGTCTCTGTAAGGACACAGGCTTTGTCTGGTCCAGGTGAAATAATGAGCAGACACCTGCACCTGGATACGGATGGTTGCTAATGGCAGTGGATTAAAATGGAGAGCCTTAATTTGGTCATTAGCAAAAAAATTGGTTAATTATTTTTCCCCTACTCCAAGATTGTTAAAAGGGCTGGGACACAAAGCCCAAATGGATTGCAAGTGTGTACCTGGAGTGTCAGGCTCATACTTTCCTTTTGTTTGAGGGGACAGAGTGAGGGAGTTGAGAACGTTGCATTCAGGGCTTTTCTTAGGATCAGGAACCAGCAGAGGTCGCATGTGGCAGCTGAAATGCTGCTGCTTTTTAATGCCTGTGGTGCTCTGAAGCAGTCGGGCTATCCTGGTTCTCCTGAAGCACTTCTCTAGTTGAAGAGAAACGTGTAACAATTATTGTTGTTAAGGAAACAAGGTGTATTTGACAAAACTTGTTGCAGTTCAAATGGGGATTTTACAGAATATCAAGGATTTTTCCTAATGTATTTAGAATGACTAAAGTTTATATTTGCTTGGGGATTTCAATTTGGAACAAACTTGGTGAAGCCTGCAAAGCAATTTCTCAGAAAAATCTATCTAGGATATATTTTTAATGCAGTCTCAGGTACTGCCTGTACTGGGGGTGCCTTCAAAGCCACTCTGGCGAGCCTGGAGGGAGTTGGATGCTGTCCCCAGCAGAGTCCCGCTGCAGGGAGTGTTTGTTTCTGCTCTGCCTGTTTCAGGTGACTTTCACTCGGTGTCTGTATGCACAGCTGGTGCAGCAGCAGTTTGTTCCCGACAGACGCAGTGGGTACACCCTGCCCGCCCCATCTCATCCTCAGTACAGAGCCTACGAGCTGGGCATGAAGCTGGTAATGATTTCTGCTGCATTTTGGACTTGCTTCATGCATGTCCAGGGAATGGGTCCTTGTCTGGACGTTGCCTGCTTGTGCAGGAAAATGTGAGCAAAGTCTGTCACACCTTGGGAACCTCTTGTTGTTGCATCTTTTATCTGCAGGCTCATGGCTTTGAAATGTTGTGCTCCAAGAGCAGTAAAGTGGCTCCTGATGCCAAGAGAAACGTGTTAAGCGGTCTTCTGTGGGAGAGATTCCTCAGGAGCTTGAAGGAGAAGGATTATTTCAAGGTCTGTGATTATTTCAGTGTCTGTGGCCTTTAAACATTCCTGGGAAAATACATTTTAACCCTTGAACTTGTGTGAGGAGTTGCAGTGGGGCCAGAGCTTGAATCCTTATCTCTGTGTGAAATGAATGAATGTCTTTAAAGGGGACATATGCAGTTTGTTCCCCTTTGAAAGTAATTTATTTTGGAAATTGAAAAGGAAAAAGCAAGATGTGGGGATTGATTCATTCATCTAAAGCAAGGGGAGAACTACACTTGAGTGAGGAAAACCACCATATGTGATTGTGTGACGTGTAACTGATTTCACAGGTTTGCATTTCATTTCCACCCCTCTAGAATTCAATATTCTGCAAGATCCATACATAACACCAATGACCTATCTGGGCCCGTGCAAGTGTAATTTTTATGTGTGTGGTGTTTTTGTCACTTCTGGAGGTTTTGGTGAGGTTTGTGGGGTTTTTTTAAAAGATGCCTTTGACTACTTCTCTGAAGTTAATAAATGGGACATAAATTGAGTACTTACTTGAAGGTAATAAAATTGGACAACACTATCGAGATTTTTAGGTTAATATTGTTTAATATACTTCAAATACAGGAATGGCCCTTTGCTGTATTGAGTTCCAAGTGTACATGGCCAAGAGGTTTTAGTTGTTTTGGTTCTCTCAGCATTTCTGTGTGACCAACAGTCATCCTGAGGAAGCCTGGCTGTGAAGAGGAAGGGGAGGGAGAATTGTTTGGGTTCATGCCTGTGACTTGCATTCCATAGGGAGAAATGGAAGGATCAGCCAAGTACCTGGAACTGTTGCACATGGCAGAAGATCACTTCCAGCAATGTGTTGCAGTGCCAGAAAGGTGAGAGCTGCTTGGAATTCATGAGTGTCATAGACCCTACACATCCTGTAAGTGACCTTTGAAATCCTTGTTACAAACACCTGAACCCTTTAAAGTTTCATTGAAAGGCAGTCCCAGTGAATAATGAACACAGGGTCATCTGTCTCCTTTACTCAAGGGTCCGGCTGTGGATTTCTCTGGAAGATCAAATCCAAAAACTAAATCACTACAGAAATATCTGAGGCTTTGCCAGCCCATAATATCTTGACTGTTAGTTTTTTGAGTTTCCAGTCTGTGCTGTTTGGGATCTGGTAATCTTAATATTTGCCAAGGCCAAATAAAAGTAAAGGAAAAGAGCCATGACCAATGGGCTTTGGAGCCATCAGCTGGGAGTTGCAGGGACTGACTGTGTCCTGTTTTGGCCAATGCTCTGGGTAGTGCTCTGGTACTTGCCCAGATTCATTTCCCTTTTGGATATGTTTGCACAGAAGGAAAAATGAGTAATTCAAGTGATAACCTAAGTGCAGAGCATGTGATCCCATTGAATCCATTTCAGTAAATTGATTTCTTTTCTTCTAGCTGTGATGAAGTGAGCCCAGGTGATGAAATCCTGACACTGCTACAGACAACACCCATTGATCTGAAGGAATTTGAGAGAGCAGCAGCTTGTCTTCCTGCAGAGGATGGTGAGCTGGCTGGGGGGATTATTGCTATTACAGATGATTATTTGTGGGGGGAGAGGGGCAATGCTGGCAGCTGGGAAGGGAGAGCAAATCCAGCCTTCCTTAAGGCTAAACACTGGATTGGCTCTCCCAGTTCAGAGTAAGCCTTTCTTCCTCCCCTTAGTGGCCAAAGGCTTCTCAGTGACTGGAATGGTCTCTCTTAGCTTGGGCTCTGCAAAGCAGAGTTTTTAAGTAGTGACAAGAAATCTCCACTCAGTTCCTCTCAGCTTCTCTCTGCCTTTGCTGTGTGTGACCCAGGACCAGCACAAAAGCTGAAGTGCAGCACTGAGCTGCAGGATGGCTGCAGTCCTGTCAGTCAGCTGGGTTGGGCCTGTGGGCCAGCAGCTTGTGCAGAGTCACAGATCTGTGCTGTGTTCTTTCAGATGACAGCTGGCTGGATATTACACCAGGTGCTCTGGATCAGATGCTGAAGGAGACAAGAAATGAGTCCCTTCCTTCCACAAATGAGGAAGAGCAAAGCTATGACTTGGGAGCAGTTGCTGAGAGCATGAAGGCTTTTGTGTCCAAAGTCTCCACGCACGAAGGAGCAGAACTGCCATGGTAGTGGCACTTGCAGTTTGGGTCTGGTGTGGAATGTTGCACTCTGCTGCAGCCCTGTGGCTGCTTCTGTGAGGCAGAGAATCAGAGTTTGAAGGTGCTGTGCTGAGCAGGGCCTGAAGCAAAGCCAGAGCACTGAACATGTACTTGCTTTAAATCAGCTTGGTGCCACTCTGGCACTGGTGCAGCTTCAAGTGCTGCAAGCTGAGCTGCTCTCTGTCCCTCAGTTGGATTTTGTGGTCTTCTCAATCTTTCTCCTTTATGCCAAGAATTCTTCCACTCACTGTTTGATGTCTAATGCATACAGGCTTCAAACTTCTGAGGACTTTTAAATTCAAATGTCCAACTTCAGTCCTGGCTTGAGAGAAATCAATATGGCTTGTGCCTGTGTCAGGCTTAGGCAGGCATAGAAGCTTCATTTCCTTAAAAATCCTTTTATATTTCAGGTCATCTGATGAGTCCCAAGTTACCTTTGATGTGGATTCTTTTACAAAAGCCCTGGAGAGAATTTTAGGTGAGATTGCTTCTTTATTTGAAACAAATCCCAGCACTGATTACAAGAGCAAGTTCTTTGCTCTTGTACTGACCCAAAATCATGTCCAGGGGCAGACTCGGAGGAGCTGGATTCTGATGATCTGGATGAGGGGGAGGAGGAGGAGTTGGGTTTCTCAGATGAGGATGATGAAGAGCTGGATGCTGGGAATGAAAGGCAGGAGCAGAAGGTGTCTCCTGAGGAGCTCGTGGGCAGTCTCAAGGCGTACATGAGGGACATGGACCGTGAGCTGGCACAGACCAATGTTGGGAAAAGCTTCAGCAGCCACAAGAGAGGGGTGAGTGTGCCTTGAGCTCTGATCTGCAGCAGAAATGTGCAAGCAGGGAATGGGCTGCAAGTGGCCATTCTGAGCAATGGGATTGGAACCTTCCCACGTGCAAGCCAAGTGTGCTGGACCTGCACCATCGTACGTTTTTTATGAACTAAAGCTTACCTAAGCTTGGAATTTGCCCATCTTTTCCAAGGCTTAGTTCCATTTCCCTGTTTTTAGTAGTAGGGCAAGCAGCTGCAGCTTCACTTTGAGTTCCTGTAGTAGTTTTCTCCCAGAGGAAGCTGAGCCAGGACTCAGCAACACTTTGTGTCCTTCTCTTGGAACCTAGTCTGGGTAATGGACAGTGGTGATTTTCAGCTGGCATGAGCATTTGGTGTCTGAATTCCTGCCTGTCAGGACTCAGGAGTGTACTGGACTTTGTAGGCTGCACAATTGTTGTTTCTTTTCTCCTGTGATTTACCCTTTTTTTCCCCTGAAATCTGCTCCTGCAATTTGATAAAGCTTTCTCTTGGTACTCTCTGCAGGCAAGTTCTGTTGGAGCAGCCCCATGTGAGAGTGCTGGCCCTGGTTGTGGAGCTGAGGCTGCTGAGCTGGCAGCCCTGGATGTGGACATGAACCTGGTGGCAAACCTGCTCGAGTCCTACAGTGCCCAGGCTGGCCTGGCAGGACCCACCTCGAACATTTTACAGAGCCTGGGGCTGAATTTACCTGAGAGCACAGAGCTCACTGGCAGCTGAGCAAGGCAGGAGAGGCTTTGGACAAGACGTGGCTGCTGGGGAGGTGAAGCACAGACACACAGCAGGATGTGGAAGAAGAGGCCAAAGGTTTCAATTTAGAGCATTCTCTTCATTATGTGTCACTTCAGCAGGGGGAATTTACATGCAAAAGCTTCTGTTTGCACACTGTCTTGGATGGAAATGAGGTTTTCTTAGTGATGACACAATTTCCGAAACTGAAAAACGATGTTGAATGCATGACTCAGATGAGGTTTTCTTTTATTTTGAAACCTGTCTTCCATTTTTCCATTCAGTGATCCAATTTGCCACATTTCTAAAATGTCCTTTTACCCATTGCTGAGTGGGTTCAAAATCTGGGAAGCAGTTCTTGTTCTGAAAATGCTGCTGCTTGTTGGGGGAGGTGGGGAAATACCACATTGCAGGAAGAGCGATTGGATCAAATGTGTAAATATTGGCCAGAAGTATTTTTAAATTTTATTTCAATAAAAACAGAAATACAACTTGATTACTGAATTTTTGGAAGGTGTTTATAACTTCCTCAGTGCAGTATCAGTTCTTGGAGTGAAAGTATTTTTCTAATTGTTCATTTTCTGAATGAATTCCATTATTGCTGAATGTTGGTATCATGCCAGCAGTAATTTTATGTGAGCCCAGGGTGACCAGTTTTGGTTTTTTTTTTCAGTGAAAATGTGGTTGGAAGGCATGCAGCATGTTGCTTTCATGTGGAATGAAAAATCTATTTTAAATATGACAACTTTAGTTTCAACAAGATAAATTTGAAATAAAATACATAGAAATTCTTGATACACAGACACCAACAGTTCAGTCCTGCTGGGTCCAAATCAGCTTCTTAATTTCTCTTTATTTCCTTTTCATTCAGCAATTAATGAGTTGTCCTCCACTGATGTTGTGTAATTTACTTTGGCAGCAGTTCAGGGAGAGCACTGGCAGGTTGGACAGGGATTAGAGATGGATAACAGAGCTGGGAAGTTTGAAGGAGGTTCTGCTGAATTTCAAGGAATTTGGACTGCTGAGAGGTGAGAGACTCAGACAAATGTGTGGTGGAAAAATGGGGTTAACAGAGGTTTTTTAATTGAGACAAGGATAATGAGCAGTTAGTGGTGGAAAACAGAGGTACTTGAACCTTGGGAGGGGTTGGTGTTTGACCAGGGAAGGTAATTTACACTGAAAATACATAAAATTCTCCACTGCTGAGTAGCTAGATCAAGTTTAGATACTTAAAAAGAATGATTGAGTTGGAGAACATGATCACATTTAACTGCTGAGTGGCCTGTGCTATAGAAAAGGTCAAATTAGATGGAAGGACTCCCTTAGTGCATGAGGAGAGCTCCTAGGCTGAGGTGGCCGTCCCTCAGTGCAGCTTTTAGTGACAGTGATCCGTGGCCATTCCTGGTGCAGTTCTGTTATCATTTGTTTTTATACCATTCTGTTTCATTCCCTTCACACTTCCCACCCTTTCCCATTCCTCACTTCTTACCCAGCACTGTCCCAATGGTCCCTGAGTGCAGCTCTTTTAGAGAACAGGGCCTGTCCCAACAGGCGGCTGCTGCAGCCAGGGGAGGGGCAGGGCCAGGCACATCACAGCGCTGGTGGTGCTTGGAGACTGTTGGCTTTTGCACTTCAGGCAGATCAAATGAATCCCAACTGTCAGAGATTTCCACCACCTGCTATTTCTCCCTCTTTTCTTGGTTGGATTTAACAACTTTTCCTTTCCTCGCACAGAGCTGGAAAGCAAAATGCCCACCTGCCCCATGGCCATCCCCAGCACCTTGTCCCTCTTTCTCTCCCCTTTACTTGGCACCACTTTCTCCATGCTCCTCCTCTCCCTGCCAGCTCCAGCAAAGCCATTTTAACCACTGGCACCAGCTGCCTCCTGTCCCTCGCTCCCATTTTGCCCTCTCTGAACTCCTGGAGCCGCCTGCCCGCGGAGCTGGAGCAGCCGTGGGGCCGGGTAATGGTGCAGGGAATGGTGGCAGGGATTCTTGGGCTGGGCTGGGCCAGGCCAGGTGCCTGGGGCCAGCAAAAGCGCTCAGTGCCTCTGCTCCTGCCCCTGGGCAGGCAACAGAACACAGCAGGAATGGCTTGGGGGCCTCAAGAAAGGCAGCCAGAGATCTCTCACCCATCATGGGCAGAACAGGCCTGGAGTGGGGAAATTATATTTAATTCAATTTATTACAAAACAAATCAGAGCAAGGGAATGAGATGTACAGCAAATCCTAAAAATGCACCTTCCCCACACTGTTCTGTCCTTCCTGAGCTTCACTTTACCGTGATTCCATCCCTCCACACCACACGGTGGCACAGAGGGATGGGGGTTACAGTCATGTCATGTCTCTGCTTCTCCCTCAGGGAGAGAAATCGTTGTCTTGTTCAGCCTGGGATTCCTCCCATAGGAGGACAGTTCACTTTACCTTCCTGGGCTTCACTTTACCCTGATTCCATCCCCTCCACACCACACAGTGGCAGAGAGGGATGGGGGTTACAGTCATGTCATGTCTCTGCTTCTCCCTCATGGAGAGAAATCCTTGTCTTGTTTCAGCCTGGGATTCCTCCCACAGGAGGACAGTCAGATCCTTTGCAACAGACAGACAGACCAATCTTCGCAGTCAGGTGCCTGATGCAGAAAGTGAGATTCCTCCTCACCATGTGTCAGCTGCTCTTCCTCCACTTCCAAGGACAGTTCACAAGTGCCACATTCAGGCCAGTTTGTGATGATTTCCAAGAGCCCAGGGCGATTTGGATTTCCCATTGGGGCTTGTTGTGTCATGAGGGCAATGCACTCACTGCAGGCAGCACCAGTGGCAGGATGGATTGCAGAGACTTTTCCTTTGCAGCCCCAGCCCAGCGTTGGCACTGGGCATGAAGAGGCACTGAGGTGACCCTGAGAGGAAGGGCAAGGCACAGGGTGCAGCTGAGGAAGGACAGCGCTGTGCTGGGCTCAGAGGTGAAGCTGGCACTGCCCAGTGTGGAGAAGGTCCTTTCTGCAGCCCCTGTTACAGGGGAGCTGGGGCCTTGCTGCAGAGATACGGCCGCTCACTGGAGCAGTTGTCACTCCTCAATCTCTTGTCAGCCAGGTACACACACTGGGAATTGCCGAGGACGGGAACCCTGCAGGGAGGAGCAGAGGCAGCGCTGGCTGCCAGGGGCAGCCCTTGTGCCCCTGTGCCCCCAGGCCCTGCCCGGCTCCCCGGCACTCACCAGGAGCTGTAGCTGCTGCCGTCCCCCCAGTGCAGGCGCTCGCCCCGTCTGGGCTGCCCGAGCCAGTAATCGACGTTCCCACAGACACGGGAGAGCAAATCCTGCCCAGGAGAGAGGAGTGGGAGCTGCCCCGGCCCCTCGGGGGGACACGGGCCCGGGGCTCCCCCCGCACGCCGGGGCTCCTTCCCTGCAAGGCCCCGGCCCAGGGCTGCGGCCCCGGCCCTACGAGCACCGAGCCCGGCCCAGGAGCACCCCCAGGCTGCCCTCAGCCACCCCACACCGCCCGCAGCCCCTCACTCACCATGGCCTCCTCATCCTTGGCAATGGCCAGGGAGGCCCCGAGCTCGGAGCACCGCTCCTGACCCTGCTCCCAGGTGCTGTAATCCCGTGAGAAGTAGTAGCAGACCCCATTGTAGCCAACCCAGCCACGGGGACAGCCCAGAAGTGACAGCGGAGTCGCAGCTGTGACTGGAACCTGTGGTGCTGCAGGGGGAAGAGGAGAAGGTCTGAGGATTGCCCTGTGCAGGGAGCAGGGAGCCCGCTCTGCCCCGAGGGGCTGGGCCCAGGCTGCTGCCCCTCCCTTACCTGCCAGCACAGCCAAGGCCACCCCCAAAGCCAGCACCAGCACCAGGAGCAGCAGAATCAGCACCGCCGTGCCCACGGGATGGCCCCTGATCCATTCACCTGGAGCAGGAAAGAGCTGCTGGCTGCCAGAAGCAGAGCCGGGCCTGCAATCTGCTCAGCCCATGGCCAGGGAGCAGAGCAGGGAGCCCTGAGCCAGTGTGGGCCTCACTCAGCTGGCAGCCAGAGAGCCAAGAGCCTGGCCACAGGCAGGGACACAGCTGTGGCCACAGGCTGCAGCAGGAGAACTGCACAGCCTTGGGGGCAGCTGGGGCTCTTGCTTCCAGCCACTGATGGGGCCCAGCAGAGCACCAGGCCTCTTCCAGACATCGGGAAACAGCCACACACCTGCCAGCCCTGCCCTTGGGAGGGGACACTGTCCCCACCCTGGAGGCCACAGGGGTGGCCCTGCACTCACCCAGGAATCTTCTGAGGTTCCTTTTGTGTTCATTCTTGGTTGCTGATGTGCCCTGAGGACCCAGGGGCTCCCTCACACTCCCATCGCTGGTGCAGAATCCATTCTCCACATCTGCACTCACTGCACACTCACAAGTGGCATCCCCCTGCTTATGCCAAGAGGCTTCTTGGGCCCCAGGCAGGTGTGGAACCGCGGCTGCTGGTCCCTGCTGGCGATGCTGGGGCTCATTCGCAACTGCTCGGATGGAGCAGAGTTCATTCTCCTCCTGCTCACAGCCGGCATCTCTCTGCCCAGAACAAACAGCACCTTGCTCCTGACACATCAGGAGTGCTGCTGGCAGATCCTTTGGGAGCTCGGCCTCGGGAACAGCTTCACAGCCGCGCTGATGGCAGCCTGAAAGGGACACGGTGAGAGGTCACTGCTGGTGCGGGCGCTGGGGGCTCAGGAGGGCGGTGGCAGCTGTGGCTGCGCTGTCCCTGCTGCCCAGAGGTGCGGCAGCAGCTGCGGAGACAAGCGCAGCCTCCGGGAGCTCTCGGTGCCCGCAGCCCCGGCCCCTGTGGCTCTGCAGCCGCTGCAGCCCAGCTCCGTGCCGGGCCGGGCTCTGACAGCGCCTGCGAGCTGGCGGCTGCTGCTGGCCCGGGGCAGCTGCGGCTCGGAGCCCGGCCCTGCCGAGGGGCAAGAAGCAGCAGCCCCGGGCTGCTCACCATTGTGCCCCGCATTCCCTGCCCCGGCGCCTTGGAGCCCGGGCACACCGAGCGCCGGCACGGCCGCTGCGGCTCCCTGCCTGTGAACGTGGGAAGCCGCCACCAGAAACTCGCCAGAACCCCCCGGCCCTCAGCGCGGCCCCTCCGCCCGCAGCGAGCCCCGAGCTGGGGCAGCACCGAGCGTGGCTCCCACCTGTCCTGGAGCCGCCTCCGAGCTCCGCCGCCGCCTCGCCGGGCTCCCGGTGCCGCCGCCGCTGCCGTCCCAGGCTGACACACGTGGAGCCGCCGCTGCCGCTGTAAATTCCCGTTTTTGGAGTGCTTTATGGTTTAAGGCCGAATCGATCAATCAGCGGGCGGGAACGCATCCCCGGTGCGGTCGTTTTGCTCCCCGCTCCCGCCGTGGTCCCCTCTGCCCGGCGCTCCCCGCTGCCTTCGCCGGGATCGGCTCCTTCACCGTTCTGCCGCCTCGGGGAGCCCGGAGGGAGGGATCTCAACCCAAGTCTTTTTCTCTCTGCTGAACGCAATGGAAACCACTGGGGGTGTCGGGACAGAGTCAGGCGCGTGGGCTGCCCGTGGCTCCGTCGGGGCTTTCCCCGCTCCCGGGGCTCCGCTTTGCCCGGCGGCTCCGGTTGGCCCCGGCAGAACTCCCCGCCCCCGTGGCTCCCCAACCCTGCGGCGGGGCGAACCCCCGGCATTTGCCGCAAGGGCTCTGACTGCCCCTGGTTACTGAAGCCTCACGCACCGTGTCCTAGAATGCCGTAAACATGGGCTGAAATGCTTCTTAAAGTTAACCTTGTGTTTCGAGTGAACTCTGATTTCTCTGAGAATTTTTACCGGAGAGATTCAAAGCGGTAAATCCAGTGCCTTATTGTTACGTGCAGCGTAACACAATCGAATTCCTTTAACAGAAATGCTGCTAACATTTACCACGTCCTGTTACACTAAATACAATCTCGAGAAGCTCCCGGTTTGTTGGACAGTTTGCCAAATTCTACATTGTTGTTTCTTTCGGTACAATTGCACTTTAAAAGGTCTGAGTAAATTTATGGTTCCATAAAATTTGTGGCTGCCATGAGTTTTTCTCAATGCTAGATTACATAGGGTCAACATTTGTCACACTTTTCTAATCCCTCCAGTAAATCCATCATGCCATTATTTCAACCACGCTTGGTTCCCATTTTCAGTGCCTTTTGGTATTAATAGCGGCAGAATAAGGTACATTTTGTAGTACCCAGAACTTTTAAGGATCTTGATTGTTAGTTCGGTTATGTTTTATTTCAATATTATTTTAGTGTTGGAAGAATTAAGCAAAGTCAGATCTGAATAATGTTATGTTTTATTCCTCTATTGAATTTTGTTAAGACTCATTTATGTCGAGGTGGATTTCTGTGTGGGTTGAGTGTTGCTGAGTTTTGGACGGGGCCGGAGCGCTTTGGGCCCCGGCGCGATGGAGGCGCTGCGGAGGCCGGGGCTGAGCTGGCCCTGGTGCGCTTCGCCCCGCTCCTGGCCGCCTCCGTGTGGCAGCGGCAGCCGTTCCGCCTGCGCTACGTGCCGGGCCGCGGTGAGCCGGGAGCGGGCCGGGAGGCACGGCGGGAGGAGCGGCCGGAGCGGGGGGACTGGGAGGGGGACACGGCGGCCGGGAACCGGGAGCGTGTGAGGGGGGACCGGCGGCCGGGACCCGAGGGCGTGTGAGGGGGGAGGACCGGGGGGTGTGAGGGGAACCCGAGAGCATGTGAGGGGGAACCAGGAGCGTTTGAGGGGGAACCGGGAGAGTGTGAGGACGACCCTGCCGCCGGACTCGAGAAGCGTCTGAGAGGGAAGTGGGGGGGGGGGATCGTTTGAAGGGGATCCGGCGGCCGGGAACCGGGAGCTTGTGAGGGGGGATCGGGAGAGTGTGAGGGACACCTGGCGGCCGGGAACCGTGATCTTTTGAGGGTAATCCGGCGGCAGGGAACTGGCAGCGCGTGAAGGGGAGCTGGGCCGTGTGAGGATGTCCCGGTGGCCGGGAATTGAGGGCTTCTGAAGGGGAATTGGGGGGGGCGTGGTGTGAGGGGAACCCGGCGGCCGGAAACCAGGAGCGTCTGCGGGGGAACCGGGAAAGTGTGAGGGGGATCCGGCGGCCGGGAACCGACAGCGTGTGAGGGGGACCCGGCGGGCTCGAACCGGGAGCGTGTGAGGGGGAGCCGGCGGCTTCCCAGCCTCTCGGTGTCACAGCACGGGGTAACCCAGTGAGGCATCTGGTGGCCCCTCCCTGCAGCAGCAGGGCCATGGCCGAGCACAGGACACAAGATTCTGCCAGCAGGGTCTGGGATATCCGCAGTGAGGGAGACTCCGCAGCCTGTGTGGACAATCTGTTCCTGGCATGGCGTTGCTGAGCCGCCTCTCCTCTCTCTGCGCCGTGCAGGCGAGATCCCGGCGCACTTGGGCGGCACCACGGTGTTCGGGGATAACGTGGAGGATGAGTGGTTCATTGTGTACCTGCTCCGGGAGATCGCCAGGGAGTTCCCGGGGCTGGCAGCCAGGTAAGGCGGGTGCTGCTGAGCTGCTTTTGTGCGAGGGCTGCCAAAAGGGGCAGTGCCTGTGCTCTGAAGGTGCTGTCTTACCATTGCCCATCCTTGGAGGTGTTTCCCCATCCCATACACCTTGGAAGTGTCCAAGGGCAGGTTGGATGGGGCTTGGAGCAGCCTGGGCTAGTGGAAAGTGTGCCTGGCTGTGGCCAGGGTGTTGGAACCAGGTACTGATCTCTAAGGTCCCTTCTAACCTAAGCCTTTCTATGGGTTTATGAATATTTTTTGAAAATCCTAGCAGACGTGGATTCAGAAGTGTGTTGTTGTGCTCTGCAAGGTTTTTCCTGCTAAATTTCTAATTTCTCCTTGGTGAGTATTGATGACAACGATGGAGAGTTTCTCTTGATAGAAGCTGCTGATTTTCTGCCCAAGTGGCTGAATCCTGAGAACAGTGAAAACAGGGTGAGTAGAGGTTGTGTACAGTTGGCAAGGGGGACCCAGTGGCCTTTCATGTAGCAGCTGGAGCTTTCTCTTGTACTTCTAGCCAAGTGGTGTGGCTGCCTCTGAAAATCCAGAGTGCTGTCTGTCCCTGACTGTTGCTCCCTTCAGGAGCACTCCTGAATCCACCTGAACTTTCCAGCTCTGCTAGAACTACTTGGATTTTTTTATTTCTACCATGTTGTGGAGTGTTAGGGCAGAGGATTTGCTGCCCTCAGAGTAGGGAATGCTCAGGGCTGGAGTGTTGCCGTCTCTGTAAGGACACGGCTTTGTCTGGTCCAGGTGAAATAATGAGCAGACACCTGCACCTGGATATGGATGGTTGCTAATGGCAGTGGATTAAAATGGAGATCATTAATTTGGTCATTAGCAAAAAAATTGTTCAATTATTTTTCCCCTACTCCAAGATTGTTAAAAGGGCTGGGACACAACACCCAAAAGGATTGCAAGTGTGTACCTGGAGTGTCAGGCTCATACTTTCCTTTTGTTTGAGGGGACAGAGTGAGGGAGTTGAGAACGTTGCATTCAGGGCTTTTCTTAGGATCAGGAACCAGCAGAGGTCGCATGTGGCAGCTGAAATGCTGCTGCTTTTTAATGCCTGTGGTGCTCTGAAGCAGTCAGGCTATCCTGGTTCTCCTGAAGCACTTCTCTAGTTGAAGAGAAACGTGTAACAATTATTGTTGTTAAGGAAACAAGATATATTTGATGATATTTGTTGCAGTTAAAATAGGGATTTTTCCTGGTTGGGTCGTGGTCTCTGGCATCTCAAATAAGCTTTTTAGAAAAGCTGTGCTGCTTCCTGCATTGGTTCTCTATTTGTCCTTTAGACTGTCAGTGTTCAACCCGATGCATTTGGATATGAAATGAAATGTTCCATGGCTGTGTGTGTGTGTGAGTGCTCTTGCCCTGTGTGATGAGAGCCTTCCTGCCTGCCAGGTGTTCTTTTACAAAGGAGAGCTGCACATCATTCCTCCGGGGGAGCCTGGGGAGCAGGGCTGGGCCCTCTCTGCTCCCTGTCCCACGGTGCCCCAGGCGCTGGCTCTGTTATCCACGCGCCCCGAGGAGCTCCTGGCTGCAGAGCCCATCAGAGCCGCGCTGAATAAACGCATCCATGGGTACGTGGGGCTGCATTTGGGTCCTCTGCAGCTCTGGGCTTTGGTTCTGTGTCCCTGGGCTTTAAACGTTTCCCCAGCAGATGGGATCAAGTTGGTTCCTTTTCAGAAACCAGCAGCTGGAGGTTTTTCTTGGAAAGAGGGGGATCAGTGTCCTGTAGGCTGTGGTCTGGGGATCTCAAACTGCTTCACTGCTGTAATTCCAGCCCTGACAATGACAAAAGTTACTCTTCCTTCACATCCTCCTTAGACTGAAAGATCTGAAAGTTCTGTCATCTTTTTGGAGCCCTTTGCACGAGGAAAAAGAGGATTTGATCTAAAATGTAGAACCAGCAGAATTGTCAGGGCTTCAGCTTGTCACAGCTGTGCTCAGCCCTGTGCTTTGGTTTTTGCAAGGATCTGACAGCAAATATGGCAAAGAATACTGGATAGCTGGGTCTGTTGGTTAAGTCCACAGGGACTCATCTTACCCACATGGGGGATTGAATTTTATGAGCCATGTACATTTATATAAGTATGTATGATAGAAACAGCCATTGTAGGCATTAGATTGGCCAAGTTTTAGCTCCAGAATAATCTTCTGACCCACGATCCCAGTAAATACTGAAGGGAAAGGGGCCTCGTGCTAAAGAAGGAGTGGTTAACTCGCAGTGCCCTCCCTTCGCTCTGTTGCCGTTCAGGTATCCCGAGAAGATCCAGGCCTCGCTGCACCGAGCCCGCTGCTTCCTCCCGGCCGGGATCGCGGCCGTGCTGAGGCTGCGCCCGTCCCTGGTGGCTGCGGCCGTCCAGGCCTTCTACCTGCGGGAGCCGGGCGATCTGGCGGCCTGCCGGCGCCCTTTCAGAACCTTCCCTGCCGAGCAGCGAGTGATGGCCCTGGTAAGTGCTCTCAGAGCCCCTGCTGGCCGGGCTGTGTGCTCCTCTAAAGCCTGCGATGGCCGCGGTGAGTGCTCTCCTCAAGCCTGGTCACTTCATTCCCTTAAATGACAAGGGTTCTGCGGCCAGTGTAGAAACACAGAGATTCAACTGAAAAATACGAGTTAGAGGGATGAATTTCCAGGTCATTCCATTAATAACTGCTCTGGATCGATGTGGCTGGACTTTCAGGGGGCTGCTCATGAGAGTATTGTTTCTGAAACCAGAGGTTGTGATAACAGTTCCTCTGCTGAAGCACCTGCTGAGTAAATCGATCTCCTTGTGTGATCAGAGCAGTTTGACAGCCCTGCCAGCCAACGGGAGGAGTTGCCCCTCACCAGTGGTTCACTCCCAGGCTTTTCACCTTCTCAGCTGTGCTCTCAGGGCTCTGGAAAAGCTTTTATGAAGTGTTTTGTGAGCACTGTCCAAGCACTGTTGTATCTGATTCACTTTGTTACAGAGTTGTACCACAGGACTCCTGAAAATAAGCTTTAGAGTCAAATTGTGGACTTGGAAACTGTTGACAAAATCTTCTAATCAAGTTTCATTTTAATTGAAAATACACCTAGTAAATGTGCATACAAAATACTGAGGATTTTTCCTTATGTATTTAGACTGACAAAAGTTCGTACTTACTTGGGTATTTCAATTTGGGACAAACTTTGT